GCAATTGCTGAGAGATTTTGTCACCACCAGGCCTGCCTTACAAGAGCTCCTGAAGGAAGCACTAAATATGGAAAGGAAGAACCAGTACCAGCCACTGCAAAAACATACCAAATTGTAAAGACAACCAAAACTATGAAAAAACTGCATCAACTAACGGGCAAAATAACCAGCTAGCATCATAATGACAGGAGAAAATTCACACATAACAATACTAACCTTAAATGTAAATGGGCTGAATGCCCCAATTAAAAGACATACACTGGCAAATTGGATAGAGTCAAGAGCCATCAGTGTGCTGTATTCAGGAGACCCATCTCACGTGCAAAAACGCACACAGTCTTAAAATAAAGGGATGGAGGAATAGTTACCAAGCAAATGGAAAGCAAAAAAAGGAGGGATTTCAATCCTAATCTCTACCAAAACAGACTTTAAAACAACAAAGATCAAAAAAGACAAAGAAGGGCATTATATAATGGTAAAGGGATCAATGCAACAAGAAGAGCTAACTATCTTAAATATATATGTACCCAATACAGGAGCACCCAGATTCATAAAGCAAGCTCTTAGAGACCTACAAAGAGAATTAGACTCCTACACAATAATAGTGGGAGACTTTAACACCCTATTGTCAATATTAGACAGATCCACAAGACAGAAAATTAACAAGAATATTCAGGACTTGAACTCAGCTCTGGACCAAGCAGACCTAATAGACATCTACAGGACTCTCCACTCCAAATCAACAGAATATACATTCTTCTCAGCACCACATCACACTTATTCTAAAATTGACCACATAATTGGAAGTATAACACTCCTCAGCAATTACAAAAGAATGGAAATCATAACAAACAGTCTCTTAGACCACAGTGCAATCAAATTAGAACTCAGGATTAAGAAACTCACTCAAAACTGCACAACTACAAGGAAAGAGAACAACCTGCTCTGAATGACTACTGGGTACATAACGAAATTAATGCAGAAATAAATAAGTTCTTTGAAACTAATGAGAACAAAGACACAATGTACCAGAATCTCTGGGACACAGCGAAAGCAGTGTTTAGAGGGAAATTTATAGCACTAAATGCCCACAGGAGAAAGTGGGAAAGATCTAAAATCAACACCCTAACATCACAATTAAAAGAACTAGAGAATCAAAAACAAACAAATTCAAAAGCTAGCAGAAGACAAGAAATAACTAAGATCAGAGCAGAACTGAAGGAGACAGAGACAAGAAAAACCCTTCAAAAAAAATCAAGGAATCCAGGAGCTGGTTTTTCGAAAAGATTAACAAAATACATAGACCATTAGCAAGACTAACAAAGAAGAGAGAAGAATCAAATAGACACAATAAAAATGATAAAGGGGATATCACCACTGATCCGACAGAAATACAAACTACCATCAGAGAATACCATAAACACCTCTATGCAAATAAACTAGAAAATCTAGAAGAAACACATAAATTCCTGGACACATCCACCCTTCCAAGACTAAACCAGGAAGAACTTGAATCCCTGAATAGACCAATAACAAGTTCTGAAATTGAGGCAGTAATTAATAGCCTACCAACCAAAAAAAGCCCAGGACCAGATGGATTCACAGCCAAATTCCATCAGAGGTACAAAGAGGAGCTGGTACCATTCCTTCTGAAACTATTCCAAACAACAGGAAAGAGGGAGTCCTCCCTAACTCATTTTATGAGGCCAGCATCATCCTGATACCAAAACCTGGCAGAGACACAACTAAAAAAAGAAAATTTCAGGCCAATATCCCTGATAAACATTGATGCAAAAATCCTCAATAAAATACTGGCAAACCAAATCCAGCAGCACATCAAAAAGCTTATCCACCACTGCAATCCAGTCCGGGAGACGGAGCGAGACTCCATCCAGGAAAAAAAAGAAAGAAAGAAAAAGAAAAAGCTTATCCACCACGATCAAGTTGGCTTCATCCCTAGGATGCAAGGGTTCAACATATGCAAATCAATAAACGTAATCCATCACATAAACAGAACCAATGATAAAAACCACATGATTGTCTCAATAGATGCAGAAAAGGCCTTCGATAAAGTTCAACACCTCTTCATGCTAAAACCTCTCAATAAACTAGGTATTGACAGAACGTATCTCAAAATAATAAGAGCTATTTATGAAAAACCACAGCCAATATCAGAATGAATGGGCAAAAGTTAGAAGCATTCCCTTTGAAAACTGGCACAAGATAAGGATGCCTTCTCTCACCACTCCTATTCAACATAGTATTGGAAGTTCTGGCCAGATCAATCAGGCAAGGGAAAGAAATAAAGGGTATTCAAATAGGAAGAGAGGAAGTAAAATAGTCTCTGTTTGCAGATGACATGATTGTATATTTAGAAAACCCCATTGTCTCAGCTCAAAATCTCCTTAAGCTAATAAGCAACTTTAGCAAAGTCTCAAGATACAAAATCATTGTGCAAAAATCACAAGCTTTCCTATACACCAATAATAGACAAACAGAGAGCCAAATCATGAGTGAATTCTCATTCACAATTGTGACAAAGAGAATAAAATACATAAAAATACAACTTACAAGGGATGTGAAGGACCTCCCAAGGAGAACTACAAACCACTGTTCAAGGAAATAAGAGAAGACACAAGCAAATGAAAACACATTTCATGCTCATAGATAGAATTAATATCCTGAAAATGGCTATACTGCCCAAAGTAATTTATACATTCAATGCTATCCCCACCAAGCTACCACTGACTTTCTTCACAGAATTAGAAAAAACTACTTTAAATTTCATATGGAACCAAAAAAGAGCCTGTATGTCAAGACAATTCTAAGCAACAAAAACAAAGCTGGAAGCATCATGATACGTAACTGCAAACTATACTACAAGGCTACGGTAACCAAAACATCATGATACTGGTACCAAAACAGATATATAGACCAATGGAAAAGAACAGAGGCTTCAGAACACCACACGTCTGCAACCATCTGATCTTTGATAAACCTGACAAAAACAGCATTGGTGAAAGGATTCTCTATTTAATAAATGGTGTTGGGAAAACAGGCTAGCCATATGCAGAAAATGGAAACTGGACCCCTTTCTTACACCTTATACAAAAATTAACTCAAGATGGATAAAAGATGTATACGTAAGACCTAAAACTATAAAAACCCTAGAAGACAACCTAGGCAACACCATTCAGGACATAGGCATGGGCAAAGACTTCAGGACTACAACACCAAAAGCAATTGCAACAAAAGCCAAAATTGACAAATGGGATCTAATAAACTAAGGAGCTTCTGCACAACAAAAGAAACTATCATCACAGTGAAAAGACAACCTACAGAATGGGAGAAAATTTTTGCAATCTATCCATCTGAAAAAGGGCTAATATCCAGAATCTACAAAGAACTTAAACAAATTTACAAGAAAAACAAACAAACAACCCCATCAAAAAGTGGGCAAAAGGTATGAACAGATACCTCTCAAAAGGACATTTATGCAACCAACAACCATATGAAAAAAGGTTCATCATCACTGATCATTAGTGAAATGCAAATCAAAACCACAATGAGATACCATCTCACACCAGTTAGAATGGTGATCATTAAAAAGTCAGGAAACAACAGATGCTGGAGAGGATGTGGAGAAATAGGAACACTTTTATACACTTGGTGGGAATGTAAATAAGTCCAACCATTGTGGAAGACAGTGTGGCAATTCCTCAAGGATCTAGAACCAGAAATATCATTTGACCCAGCAATCCCATTACTGAGTATATACCCAAAGGATTATAAATCATTCTACTATAAAGACACATGCACACAAATGTTTATTGTAGCACTATTCACAATAGCAAAGACTTGGAACCCACCCAAATGCCTATCAATGATAGACTGGATAAAGAAAATGTGGCACATATATACCATGGAATACTATGCAGCCATAAAAAAGGATGAGTTCATGTCCTTTGCAGGGACATGGATTAAGTTGGAAACCATCATTCTCAGCAAACTAACACAGGAACAGAAAACCAAACACCACATGTTCTCACTCATAAGTGGGAGTTGAACAATGAGAACACATGGACACAGGGAGGGGAACATCATACACTGGGGCCTGTCAGGTGGTGGGAAGTTAGGGGAGGGATAGCATGAGGAGAAATACGTAATGTAGATGATAGGTTGATGGGTGCAGCAAACCACCATGGCATGTGTATGCAACAAATCTGCATGTTCTGCACATGTATCCCAGAACTTAAAGTATAATAGAAAGAAAAAGGAAGGAAGGAAGGAAGGAAGGAAGGAAGGAAGGAAGGAAGGAAGGAAGGAAGGAAGGAAGGAAGGCTCAATTCCATGTCAGTTCACATTTTCACTTCAATCCTAGTAGATACATTGTTTTAAGGTGTAAAATCTTGATTAAGACATTTATCAAACTTCTATTTGTTCACCCTAAAAGATCATTCAGCTTTAAGCAGCCCAAAATGTTTTCAGCTTTTCTTTTAAGCTTGTCTTCACTGAACTTTTCTCCAGGCAATAGATGGAACTTAATACATCTGAAGACACTTGAACACATAAATAAAAAAGGGAATTTACATTCTGTGTGTGTGTGTGTGTGTGTGTGTGTGTGTGTGTGTTTTAATTTTCAACACAAAGACTCTATTTTTTGATATGATTCTAATGCTTTTCTGTTCAGCACATTTTTGGCTGCATGAGTAGCAGTGAACTCTGGATGACATCTGAAAATTCTCATCCTGGGGAAAGGCTGGCTTCGGACTCAGGAAGGAGTGGGGGCAGCAGAATGCAGGGGGCAAACATGCTAAACTGGGTATTGAGCACCAAAATGGGACAAGTGTAGCTCCGGTTGTCCCTGTGGGACTCACTGCCTCATCTGCCAGTGACTCGGGGGCTTTCTGGTCACAGTCGGCATCTTTTTGATGAAGGAAAATGCTTAAGTAACAGCTATAAATGTTAAATAACAGTGGCTGAACTGCAGAAATACTTACGGATCTCACAGTTTGCTCCCACCCAACCATGCGGGCAGTGGCAGGTGTAACCATTGGACTGGTCCAGGCAGCTCCCACCATGGTGGCAGGGGTTACTGTCACATTCATTTATGTCAATGTCACACTCTTCACCTAGGGAGATAAGAAAAAGCAGTGGTGAAACCGCTGCACCCATGGTTCCTGCCATTTTTCTGGCCAAAAAATAAAGATCCCAGGCTAAGGGTCATAACCTTTAGCAATAGAGCCTAACCTGCTGTTTGTACAAAGTGCAGAACTCTCAGAAAATTCCAGACACGGGATCTTTTACTTCAGTAAAATTAAAAAGGAAAAAAATATATATATAGCACTGGTAAAAAGAATCTTTCCTTTAGTCTACTTAACTAGTTAACTAGTTTCATTTAGCTAGTTAAGTGAGGTTGATTCCCATGTCTGAATAAATCTTTCCAGGATCAGAAAAAGTGAAGTTGGGGTCTTGATTTTATTAAAGAAGTCTATTTTATGTTGGAATTCATCAGCTGAATCTTATTATTTATTTTTCTGAAACTCCAGAAAGCTGAAAACTCACAGTTTATGATTATTCTGTAGCCAAGTATTTGAGTGTGTGAGACTGGACATTTGACTCTTGTCTGGAAAGTTCTAGGACATAGCTGTGCACCCAGCCTGAGTCAATTAGGAGAGATTACTTCACTTTCCAAATCCCTGGATGTGATTCTGCTTGAAGTTGGGGGACGTGAAATGCCCAGGAAGAGCATCAGGTCCACCTAAGAAGAGAAGTTGTGAAGCCTGGGGTTAATCTAAACCTGACCTAATTTTTTTCTGAGAAATGGTGGCCCAAGGGAAGCTGTCAGTTATCCTCCCATAAGGAAGAATGTGACCTTCAGCTCCTGACCCTGGCTAGACCCAACTTTTTAGGACACCTTTGTGTGCTTCAGAGAGAACCTGATAGAAATTACAAACCAGGGTCCAGAGCCAATGTCACAGTGATTCGAACATCACCTTAGAACAAAGCCATCTTCAAGTGATTTTAAAGCCATCATTATGAGTCAATACTAAATGCATACACTTCTTAAATTCAAAGGCATCTCATCAAAGGTGAAGAGAAGAGGATATTTCAAATTGAGGCACTCCCTCTCTCAAAAGTTTGAAAACGAGAAAAAGAAATTTTCAAAATAAGCCCTCCTTTGCTTAGATAAATGCAGAAAGTGATGAGAAAACAAAACTCCTAGCATTGCTATGGTCATGGACTAAAGATATTTTTGTCCATTTTTCAAAAGCAATGTTTCAGTATACACTCAAGTGATTACTTCTGGGCTCACTTAATTAGCATTAAATTGCTTTTCTATCTGCTATTGGTTTACCTCACTATTATAAAACCACTGTATGTCACTCAGGCCATTTTAGAGGAGGAATCTCACACTAAAATATTCCATGTCTGTTTTATCTCACACTGTTTTTATACCTGGCATCTTACTATTTTATTTTTAAATAAAATCTGTTGAACAAAACATTTACAACTTCTAGGTCCTACTAGGTTGATTATAATTCAGTAATATATACATGAATTTGTTTCCTGCAACAAATATAGTCACTTACATCAATAGTAAAAAACATGAAATTGATTGCCTATTTCAAAGGTTGTCTTTCCATTAATGGGGCAATCACTCTTAGTAGAAACAGTCAGAGATTAAACTATTACAAATGGCATCACATGGTAGACTGGTTGAAGAGACATATAACCAAGAACGTGCTGAGAAATGTTAAAAGGATGAAATCAAAGACCTTAACAAGCATATACATCAGTACTTCTTTCCAACCATCTAGGAAGATACGTGTAATTGGAGATATTTACTAAATAATAGCTTTCTTTGGCTGGCAATCTGAACACTGCAAATTCTGAAATGAGATGCTCTGTTACCTTTACAAGAATAGCTACAGAAACAGCCCACATCTCCCTACTGCTACGGTCTGGCAAAACTCAAAAGCCTCACTCTGCTTCAGGAAGTCCAATGTCAATGACATATGCTTTTCATTTCCTAAACTCCATGCAGTCTCAGGGCTATCAGTTCAGTCCATCCAGGCCTGTTCCAGTCCAGAGCTTCTCCAAGAAGGCAAATGCCACATTCAAGAGCCAGGGCAGCCCCATGCATGTATTAAATCTTGGATCACTAAGGGGCTCTAACATAGTCAGGAGAAGCCCAAGGTCCCTAGAATTGTCTGTTCTTGGGACCCACTAGATTGGACAGATTTGGTAAGAATGGAGATGGCGGGGAAGAAAATAGGATGAACTCTTGCTGTAGACATTTATCAAATACAGTATCTAAAATCCAACTAGGGCCAAACTTATCTCATTCGGGTTTTCATCACCATAATGTTCTTAGAGTTACACTGGGGGTTAAATGATGAAAATTAATGAAATAAATCATATGCCATTCAGGGCCCCAATTCGCTGACAGCTATTTCTGCAACTTATGTGCTCTGGCAGAACCCTGGAGTGATGCACAGTTCTCAGATACCTTTGGGTTTATTCTAATGGCCTCTTTTATAGACAAACACTCCTTATGCATCTAGTTGAATCAGTTATTCCTCAACTGGCTCTCAGTTTGAGGCCTTTGCTGTGTTCTATGCTGGCTGGCAATAGGAATATGAGGTGACTCAAATGATAGAGTCCCTCAAGGGAATTTTCAACCAGAAGACACCCAAGGATGACTGTTGTTCTCTGCCTTACGATGATCATGCTTTTTACTGTTGGTCTTATGCAAAGTGTTTGAAGATGCACTATGAATTATAGAAAATAAGTTTGGCTTCATTTGCGTTTCCCCATATTAACAGCATTATGTTTGTATATGCATTTCAACACCACAACATTCCATTCTCAATCAATATTCATTTTAATTTATTTTATTATAAGAGTTCTTAGTATACAGTATTATCTTTCTTTACTAATAGTTAACTAATAAATCTTTGAGCTTTTGCTGCCCTGAGCCAATTGACTTTTCAGTTGGCTCACTTACTCTTTTTAAATTTGAGTTAGAAAAAACAATTATTCTTAAGTCACTGTTGTTCTTAATAACATCTACTAAGAAAATACAAAATGAAATTTCTACTTGACTAAGGCTAGCAATCAAGGTCTGAACTTTAAGTCTTTTATAATTATTTTTTCTTTTTTTTTTTTTTTCTTTTTTTGAGACAAAATCTCACTCTGTCACCCAGGCTTGAGTAGAGTGGCACAATCTTGACTCACAGAAAGTTCTGCCTCCCAGGTTCAAGCGATTCTCCTGCCTCAGCCTCCCCAGTAGCTGGGATTACAGGCATGTGCCACCATGCCCAGTGAATTTTTTGTATTTTTAGTAGAGATGGGGTTTTGCCTTGTTGCCCAGGCTGATCTTGAATTCCTGACCTCAGGTGATCTGCCACCTCAGCCTCCTCCCAAAGTGCTAGGAATACAGGCATGAGCCACTGTGCCCAGTCAATTTTTTTTTCAATGTGTTACCTTCTATGAGGCAATATGTAAGTACACTGGGTATCACATTTTGTAGTACTTATGCAAATTTACAAGCATACTGATTCTGCTTGCTTTCCTTGGGTAAATTAGGAAATGCAAAAAGACAAAACCATCCAAAGTTACCACTGTTAGTATATCCTTGGGTTAACACAGTCCCCATTAAAAGATATTCATGACAATTACCATAATCATAATATCTAGTATTAAATATATGCCTTCTATGTGGCAGGCACTGACTGGGTGCTTTGACTATAACTCTTTCATATACTTCACTAAGATTTTATTCAAGATAAAGTGAGTTTTAAAAATTATTTTGAATTTTTTTATCATGATGGAATAACTGGAACTTGTCTTGCCTTCCCACCATAAACAACTAGACAACTAGATGAAATATATGGGGAAAAAAAAAAAAAAAAAACTATGAGGACATTGGACAACAGGAAGTCCATGACGGTGATTGCTGCAAGAAGGGAAATAAAACAGCTGAGTACCACAATCATTCTGGCTTTCTTTCTGGAATTAATTTAGAACACAGTGGTTTCACTGGCTTGAGGAGACAAATATCAGAGTGCGTGGAGGCCAAGGTAGCTGTAATTTGTAGGAAAGACCATAACACAAGATAGAACCACTCAGAAAATGAGCACCGGAAATCTGCTGCATCCCCTGGGCTGTTGCTGAGGACATGTGTGTGTGTAACTTGAAGCTTGGCAAACAAAATGACAGATGAACGGTTCCCAAACTCACAGAGGACTCAGAGATATTCAGATTTGCACAGCCACGATGGAACTATTTCATCGATTACCCAGTACATTCAGTGAAGCCACAAAAGATCACATCTTAGTAATGGGGCACAACTATCCCTAGAGTAAGGCTACTCTACATTCACCTCCCCAAAATGTACAACAAACCTTGAAAGGTTTAATTAGGTCAGCAAGTTACTTACCTGACACAAAAAAAAAGTCCATTACTTTTTTTAAAAAAAGACAATAAAATCCAATCACTCAACAACTGAATCCACAATGACCATCATTCAAACAAAAATTAATAGACATGCAACAAAGTAGAATCATGTGACCCATAACTGCATGAAAATCAGTCAAAAGACACAGATTCAGAAATAACATGAGAGCTAGCAGACAACAAATTTGTTCAAAATGTGAAATAAAATACAAAAAACAATGAACAGAAACATAGAAAATAAAAAACAAGCCCAATGGAACTATTAGATATGAAAAATACAATATCTGAAATTGTTTTTAGAACTCAATGATTTTAATAGTAGATTAGTGGCTCACACCTGTAATCCTGGCACTCTGGGAGTCTGAGGCAGGCTGATAACCTGAGGTCAGGAGTTTGAGACCAGCCTGGGCAACATGGCAAAACCCCATCTCTACTAAAAAAACAAAAATTAGCTGGGCGTGATGGCACATGCCTGTAATCCCAAGTACTCAGCAGGCTGAGGCAAGAGAATCTTGAACCAGGGATGCAGAGGTTGCAGTGAGCCGAGATCACACCACTGTACTCCAGCCTGGGTGACAGAGTGAGACTCCGTCTTAAAAAAAAATAAAAATAAAAAATAGTAGATTAGACACTGTCGAAAAAAATATTAGTAAAGTTGAAAACAGAGCAA